TATTCTCCAAGTGGTGAATACCAGCTTTTGACCCACTCTGGTACTGACTATGGATCCGAAGATGCCCTCCCAAGGCCTTGGCCGACTTGAACTCTCGGTGGCAGTATCTACAGACTCTAATTGTTGGATCTTGGCTTTGATCAGGGACTCCATCACCTTCTTCCAGGAACTTAATTATTCTGTCGGCGTTCAACTTTTGAACCAAGAAATCTATAGAAGTATCTCCAGGCACCATGCTGATGCTTTCAGTCTCACTCCAATCAGTTGCCTGAGGATGATGTATTCGGAAAAGAAAGAAGATGGAAAGCAAACAACACTAATAGGATTCAGGAGAGGAGAGGAATCAGAGAAGCAGCAGAGTGAAGCGCAGCAGGATAGGGTTTTGAAGAATAAAAGAGACCGATGAGAGTGAGTGTGTGTATACATATATAGTAGAAGAGAAATCCTCACAAGGTCAGGATGAATCCAAATCCTTGGCCAAAGAGGATTAGCTTTTGACAAGGAAAATCCCAGTTATTGTAGGTCTTTCTTGATTGGAACTTAAACAAAAACTTAACTGACAAGTAACTTAATGAAGCCTTTTACTGGAAGCCCACTTCTGACGTTACTTTTCTTGTCAGCCAGTATATTATTCCTGGCCTTAGCAATTCAAACAAAATGAAGAACTAACATGGAATTCTCTTAATTTACCTATAAACCTAGGATTAAGTAAGCTCATGATTTAAGTACAGCCAAATTAACGCTTTTGGTCCACACACCACCAACAAGATAGATATTTATCAAAATCTTCTTTTGCTTTCCGTATAATTTTCCTTTTTAAGCACCATTTGTTTGATTGTTAATAATTACTTTGCATTAGTTTAGTGAAATAAAAAGTAAATCAAAATTTATTTTACATTGAGCAAATAATTAAAATATTGTAACACCAATTTAAATGTAATTATTTTAATATATGAGTAACGTTATATATATATATATATATATGTGTATAAAATACTAGCGCAAAAGTTATCTAATTTGTTATTTACAAAAATTTAAATTTTTAATTCCTCTATTATATCTTTTTATTATTTTATTTTTAAAAAAATCATTTATCAAACTTAACAATGATTATTAAATTAATAAAAGTAACAATCAGGTTAGATTTTCTTTCTAAATCTTGATTGAAATATAATAAAAACAAATTAAATTTTATTTTATGGCCAAGCCTTAATTAGTGATGCCAAATCAATAATACTAGTAATTAGTTGAGTAGTAACTGTTTGATTCAAAGAATTGATGTTTACATCTTGTAATAAAACTTAAAATCAAACAATGCCAAGGAACCTTCATTAACAATATTTACTCATTTTCCCAATCAAAATGCTAATCTAATTTAGGCACTCCATGGACGTACACATTATATGCTTACCACCAGTTCCTAACTGAAAATGGTTTAATTAGTTTTAGCCAACTGGGTTGCATGGTTGCAAAACACCTTTTTGTTTCCACTTTATCCAAATAATGCAGCAGCATCTAACAAAACCCCAATCTTTAATTCCCATATATATTTATATGTATATATATAGCACACACATATATTAATTTGGGGATTAATTAATTGATCATCATCTCAATTATTCCTGCCTCCCACCCTACCATGGCCCAGCGGACGGAGGTAATAAGCCTGATCCTCTTTTTTTTTTTTTTGTTTTGTACCCATGCATTATGCGGATTTCATTCTTGTTTCCAACTTCTCCTCTTCCCCATAAAAGTTTTACTGCCCTTCTATAGGATAATATTCATGGAGTTAATTACTCAGAATGAGAAGATATTAATGAATAACAAGTTATATGGTATTGACAGAATAATGCATGGATGTCTGTTCCTCGATTTGGAGGGTGGGATCAGAAAGGTCCAGGAGCCACGGATTATTCAATGGTTTTCTCGCGGGCTCGGGCCAACAGGAAGCAACAGAAGACTGATATTAGGCGTAGCCTTGGAAATGAGCAGGACTTCGTTGCTGCTGCTTCATTACCTCAGCCACAATACCAGGAAGATTCTGTTACGGTAACATTTCATTTCACTAAATCCTGCTTCATCCACTTGAAAATACCCTCACTTTTTCTCATTTCTAATGTTGCCATGCAGAAGAAAAACAAGATCTTGACCTACATTAATTGCTGCATCAGGCCTTGATCCACCTGCCAGTCTTTTGGCCATGTAAAGCTTAAACAGAATAAGACTTCTGGCGTGTAGATTTACTGATAAGGCGTTCTTCCGGTCAGGAACTAAGCAGAAGGTTTTAAGCTTTAAGCATGGTCTGCCATGTAAATATCCTTCCTAATACGTATAGCTTTCTCCATCATACGTGATTCTAACCTCTGATTATCAGAGCAATGGCATGATTATTATATCAACTGACACCCAAAGTTACCTATACATATGTTACATGAGCTGTTTTCTTCTGGTCTTATCAATTTGCTTCGCTCAAACACAAGAAAATAATTTCAATCTAAGTTGTTGATTTCAAGAGATTTACTGGATTTTTGCTTCGAATAGGACCAATCTGCCCACACAAGACTGTGTATCTGTAAGTATGGTTCAGTATACAATACCGCACCCTGCTTTATTCGCAAGTTTTGATCAAATTTAATGATCATAAAGGATCCACCACCACTTCTCATCTGCCAATAACAACTATCAATCTACAAGATCCCTCTCCTAAAATCCATACTGTCAAGCTAGCAATTAAACCTAAAATCTCAGCTTCTAAGTATGAAGCACTTGGCCAGGCTTCCCTCGTCAACTTTCATATAACTTTCCCAAGGGTAACAGCAAACTGCTCTAATCTCCTTTCTTAGCACTAAAACAGGGTTAGCACAAGAAAATTAAATAGAAAGCAGCATCCAACTAACAACATAGCTAGTTGCATTTGAGGGTCATGCGAAACAATGCTAAAGAACAACTGTTCCAAAGGTTCCAACAAACAATTGTAACACAAGCAACTCCACAGAATGAACTTCTCAATAAAAGCATTTACATGACAAGAATTAAACAGCAATCAATCAATTAAAGGAAGTTAAAAAAAAAACTTATTAAATTGAATACCTCAAAACCATCTGCTTCAAAATTCACAAGACTTAGGGCAATCATAAATAAAGGAAGTGATCTCATTCTCTTGACCACAGAAGAAATATCATAATCCAATCAATTTTTTGCAGTGAGATATCAATAATGGACAAAAAGTAGAGTTGTTAAACAGGAGAGCAGCACATAGCTTGAGTCATACACCACAGTTTTCTTGTTATTGTATATTATCCGTATCCCTTGGTTAACATGCAAGGGTTCTTACATGGAGAACTATGCCTTTGCAAGGAATTCTAACTACTACTTCATTAGTACTTTGAATTAAAGAAAAATAATAAAACGACAATCCAGGAAAACTTAAAATGCTGAAGTGTTCATTTCTAATCCTCCTAAACGTACTTCCCATGCAGAGGAGAAAAACGATGACTTACACAAATTGCCGTACTATAGCCTTGATGCCCTGGTAAACTTACCATTCTCCAAACTTTCAAACATGTAATGCTATAATCACATTTCAGATTCTGGCTTTCAAATTGATAAATTTGAACCTTTTGTGATGAACTAGAGAAAGCTTGAATATTTGAATATGATTATCATGTAAATGGTCTCAGTGCATATACTTATTCTTAGTCATCCATACATTATTTTTTCTGCCGAGCAAAAAAATGTGTAAATTAAGTACAACACATTGATTACTATATTGAAATCCAAAGTTGCATTCATGTATGTTACACAAACTTTTTCTGCATAATCTTATTACCTTTAGTTGCTCAAACTCAACATGAGTAATTTTCTTCTAATTTATTTACAAATACAAATATATACAAGTACCTTCCATTTAAGATGCCGAGTTAAAGCGCCTTACAGGAGCTCGGAGGGAAGATAGGTACTTAGCATCAGACTTGTCAATTCCATTGAAAAGATAACTAAAGGGAGGCATTTCTATGTACTTTCCAGAACCAGGAACAACTTTCAGCTCATCATCTTGCCAAACAACTCTTCCTCCAACAATTGTTACTTCAACCTTTCCCTGAGAAACCATATCGAAACCTTTCAAAACCTAACATGGGTGACAATGTTGGGAAGGCACACATATGAAAATGAGTACTTGGACCCAAGTGCATACACACAGAATATTGGATATAGATAATTGGAAAGTTTACACATGAAGGAATATTGGAGATATAAATAGATAGGAAAATTTGAGGGGGAGACAAAGCAAACAGATAGGACCAAGTACCAGTGCTAACAGGACAAAAATCACAACTCAACATATCTTAGTTTATAAGGAGTGATCCTACGCCTTATACAAAACCTTCTTTCAACTTGTAACAACTCAAACCGTTTCCGTAAATGTATCGTCATTTGGCAGTACCTTTCTGATAAGCTGATGTTTTCAATCAAGATGTCAACCAAAATTGAACTTTCTGCTCATTATTTGATGTTGGACCAATATAGTACCTTAATTAGGTCAGAGTATTTTATTAATTATATACATATTTCACTTGATTAGTAGAAAATTTTATCATGTACGAGTATTGTAAGTTCTAACTTGAGCCTCTTTACCGTTATGAAGCTTTTCTTTATAGATTATGAGTTGTTCGAAATCATTAGCATATTAACCTTAATTTTCGTGTCCTATGTTTACTATTTTCAGTCCCAAGTCCTTGTAAAACAATAATTACTAGAGCTCGATTTTTAAGCACTAAAATTATTTCAATTAATAAGAAAACTTGTAAGAGATTTTTCAGCAATGGTGCCTTACTTTAGGATTTTGTTATGCCCTAACCATGGGTTAGGTTAGGTATGACTCCTAATTTTCTTCCTAATTATTTTCTTTTAATAAAACAATTCCAGCACTACTTTGGATAAAAAATAGGCCGTAAATAATTGTCTTTGAACCATAGAGAAAATTCAAGTATCAAATCCCTAGCATAACCCAACTAAATGACCCTCATAATTAGCATTCCAAATATAGGTACCAACCACAGCACCGACGCAGCAACTATATGCCAAACATTCTAACAAGTGAATTTTCCCATCCAATCTAGATCTTATATCACAGAAAAAATTTACTGTTCATGTAGTTTTCCAATTTGCCCTCTAATAACTCTAGACAATAACCTCCAAAACCTTAAACTATCCTACATAAGTTGCTGATTTATT